TAGTGATCCCCACAAGGCAAAAGAGAAATGTTCCCTATCCAATCTACCTCCTCTCTCCTGATGTCCACCTGGCCCATCGGAGCTGTGGGGACAAGTCTTTGGCAAATGCCACAGGGAGTCCACCTGTACACATTAATCCACTGTCAACTAGGGCACCTTATGCTGAGGTAGTTTATTAGCTCCTGCCCTCACAAGTCTCCCTGGGAGGAGGTGTAAATCTCTGAGAGGATGAAGGGGATGCCCGAGGCTTGAACCACTACCCAGAGCAGCCAGCCTGGGCTCTGAGGCCCCAGGTGTACAATGAGAGTACCAAGTATCTCCGGAGAAAAAGTCAGGGCCAGAGATGTGATGTCCATGGGCTTATGCCACAATCCTGCCTCTGCCTGCCTCAACTCAGAAGTCCATATTTCAATGCATTAACCTTAAAGACCATTATACAAGAAAAAAAAGTGAGGTGCAGGTCAGGGAAGTGAGTTGCCCAAGTCACTCAGCTAGTAGGGGTCAGGCCTAGCTTTCCCTGATTCTTCTACAGTTAGAGGAAGATAGTCCTCCCCTGGTGCAAGATAATCAATTATTTGTTTGCTGCAAACTTTAGACAGAATGTTCCTTGAGAACTAGGACCATTCATTAAATTATTCAACAGACATCTATTTATTGCACTTGGCAGGAGCTAATCATGGTGACAGGGAAGTAAAGAGCAATGACTCGACACGGAGTGGGTGGCTAGCAGTGGACAATGTGAGTAAAGCATTGAGCATGGTGCCTGGCCCATAGTAAGTGCTCAAAAAATGGTGGTGGCTTCTACAAAAGTCTTCTTCTAATGAGATGGAAATAAGGGGAGAGAGGTAGGCAAGGGTCAGATCATGACTGGACTCACATGATAGACTGAGAGGTTGGGATTTGTCCTGGAGGTGATGGGGGGCAAATGGGGGTTTAGAGCTGAGAAACGACATGATCAGCTGTCCAGAAGGCTACTGTAGCAAAACTTGGGAGAATGCGAGTTAAGAAAAGGAGATCAGTTATGTAGCTCCCGTGAGAGTTTAAGGAAACAGTGAATTGAGACAGTGAAGCTGGGAATGGAGAGAAAGGGAAAGTTTCCAGAGATAGTTTAAGAAGTGTAATCCCAAGGGGTGAGTGAGGAGAGATAAAGGTAGGGAAGAGGGGAGAGACTAGGCAGACCCCTGGCTAGGGCGCTGAGGACAAGTGTAAAGAGTCCCCAGCTACAACTTTATGGAGGAAGAGAATGAGGTCAGTTTGGAGACCTAAGAGATAGCCTAAGAAACATCCAAGGGAGAGATGTCCAGAGGTATTCATATAGCCAAGCCTACACAGTTCAGGAGAAAGGTCTGAGTTTGAGGAACTAGTACAGAAATAGCATTTTCCAGGTCACAGCCAAAGCACCCATGGCTAGATACAAAGTATCCATTCAACTACATTGATTAATATCCTACTACTTGCCAACCTGTTGGGGCTGAGTCGATTCCGACTCACAGCGACCCTATAGGACAGAGTAGAATTGTCCCGTAGGGTTTCCAAGGAGTGGCTCGTGGATTCTAACTGCCGACCATTCAGTTAGCAGTCGAACACTTAACCACTACACCACCAGGGTTACTATAAGTTGGAATCCACTTGATGGCACCTAACAACAATAACAACAATTTCCCAAACACTGTGATAAGTGATGGAGTCCCTGGGTGGTGCAAATGGTTAATGTTCTTGGCTGCTAGCCAAAAGGTTGGAGGTTCAAGTCTACCCAGAAGCACCTCAAAAGAAAGGTCTGGTGATCTACTTCTGAAAAAACAGTCACTGAAAACCCCATGGAGCACAGTTCTACTCCAACACTCATGGGGTCTCCATGAGTCACAGTCGACTCAACAGCAACTGGTGGTAAGTGAAAAGGCTAAAGCAGAAGACAAGAGAGGAAAGGTTCCTGCCCTCAACGAGTTTACATTCTGGTGAGGGGAGCCAGAATATATGTAAATATATACACACATAAGTAAAAGAAATAAAAATATTAGCTGGTAAAAGGGCCAAGCAGAGAATTAAATTAGGGTGTGATGTTGCTTTTCCTTTGCCAACGGAAGAGTGTGAAGAGCAAAAAAGAGGGTTTAAGACCACGTGCTGGGGACTCATGTCTGTGGGCCAAGCACAGAAGAGGAGCCCTAAGCACAGGAGGCTCAGTAACCATACTGAGCATGTTTCATGAACCAGGACATCCTAACTATTATCTGGAGACAATGTCCCACCTCCAAACCAGAACCTCCAAGAGTAATCCTAAACCAGTAGCTATCGAGCTGACTCCTACTCATGGCAAGCCCATGTGTGTCAGAGTAGAACAATGCTCCATAGGGTTTTCAATAGCTGATTTTTCAGCAGCAGATTGCCAGGCCTTTCTTCCAAGGCACTGCTGGGTAGACTGAAACCACCAACCTTACAGTTAGCAGCCAAGCACACTGACTGTTTGCACCACCCAGGGACTCCCAAGAGTCCCATTCTAGCAGCCCATTATTTCATTCAGTAAATAGGTATATGTACTGATCCCAGCGCCAGGTGCTGGGGATACTGCAATGAACAAGACACTCAGGGTACTTGCCCTCATAGTTCACACTGTAGCAGAAAAAGACACCCACAAACATACACACACACAAACACAAAGCAAGTAAACAGATATCTAAATAAAACTGCAGGTTATGCTAAGTGTTGTGGAAAAAAAAAAGAAGAAAAACCAGGGGATAAGAATAACAGTGGGTGATCTACTTTAGGTAGGATAGTCCAAAAAGAACTAACCTAGAAGTAATATTTAAGATGCGTCCTAGAGCTTGCCATGAAAAGGAAGGTGGCATGGTATTCCAGGCAGAAGGGACCATGGGTGCACAGGCTTGGAGGCAGGAAAGAGCTTGATGTGTTTGAGAAACTAAAAGACAGCCAGTGAGGCCAGGGTATAGGGCTGGAGAAAAAGAAGTGATGACACTGAAAACATAAACAGAGTCACATCACTCGACCCCCTGTAGGCTGCAGTGAACTGTTCAGATGTTATTGTAAGGACAATGGCTAACCACTGAAGGGTTTTCCAGCCAGGTGTGATCTGATCTGTTTTTCATCTTAAGGAATTTCTGGCCAGGAGAGGGCATAACAGCCAGGAAACGGTTCTTTTTAAGCAGGCAGAGCCTTGAGGCCACCCCTCCAATCCCACTGTGTGGCGACCACTTAGTCCACCCACAGTTAGGGTCAGGCCTCTATTTGCAGCGCAACTTTTCCTCCTTGGATCTCCTTCCTGGCCTAAGTGCTTCCCAGAAAGCCCCATAAACTCACTAAAGTGTTTCCAATGAACTGTGATACAGTGTTGGGAGAATGACTGCTTTGGTAAAAGGACACAAAATAATAAAACAAAACCACTCCCTCGTTTCTGATGGAAATTTCTTGTTTGCTCCTCCACTGCTTTCCATTAGTCCATGGCCTAAGCAATTGTCTTTGCTCTTTACTTTGTCTCCCTTTCTTTTCTAAAAGGCCACGAACATGTGTGCTACTATGAACAATAACAGAAAACTAGAAATTCTTACTGATCCCAGAAGGCTGGGAATTCTAAGCAATAAAAATATGTCCTCTGACTGCTTCTCTCCAAAGAACATTTTGGAGACACAAAAGAGCTCTGTTAAAACACCAAATAAGCTCTTGGGACGACACTCTGGGCCTAATGTTGGGCTCCAGGTCACCAAGTACTGATGCAAGGCAACTCTAGAAACAAAGCTGGCAGGACCTCCCTGCTGCCCTCTCCTGGGCTCACCTTCTCATGTGGCAGCCCACATCTTGACTGCATCAAGCCGCAGTTACTGTATAGCTTTCAGCCACTATTGTTCTCAAGAGCCAGAATTCTCAGCCTAAAGAGAAAGTCCCCTTTGTCTCCCAGCCAAGATTTAATTTACATTTGCCTGAACACTCCATTCACTTTGTTTTCAGGCTAAGGACTCTCACAATTGTACTAGACCCTGATTTTGAATTTCCCTGTGTTTCTGCTGTTTGGAAATTTGCCCAGGTCAGCCACTGGACAATCCCAGAATTCAGCTTTACCTTAAGGAAAATCTCTATTGTCCATGATTTCTTATAAGATTTCTAACTTCTGTCACCATATTTTTTGATTCCTACATTTTTAATGTCTTTCAAAATACACGTGTGTGTGAGCATACATGGATTGAATTTGAATTGTGTCCTCCCCAAAAAAAATATATGATGAAATCCTAACCCTGTACCTATAAATATGACCCTGTCTGTAAAAGTAAACGAGGTCATACCACTTAGGGTGGGTCCTAAACCTAATCACTTCTGAGTTATAAAAAGAGTAGAATAGACACAAAGACATATACACAGGGAAAGACAGACAACATGTGAGGATCATCTACAAGCAAAGAAATGCCAGCAGTCACCAGAAACTAGGAGAGAGATCCACAGAAGGAATCAACATGGCCGAGACCCTGATTTGGACTTTTAGCCTCCAGAACTGTGAGAAAATAAATATCTGTTCTTTAAAGCCACCCACTTCGGTATTTCTGTTCCAGCAGGACTAGGAAACTATGACATCACGTTTTCTCTGACAATCAGTAAAGCTTATGCTCTCTTCCAACTTAATCACATTCCTAGGGAGATGTCCCTCTTTCATTTCCCAGATTTTGGAAGGGTGCTCCTAGCTGTATTTTTTCCCTCCTTTCTCACTCAGATGTCCCATTCCTGGCATTTTCCTGGTCCTTCAACACAATGATTCACAAGACAATGTGACTGACTGCCTTTCTATGACTTTGTCTCTGGGTTCTCACCTATAAACTTCTTTCATATGCAAATGTACAAAATTTACTGGAATATTAAAGAGCAAAATGTGATCACAAAGTAATACAAATGCAAAGAAATGTCAATCCCTAATAAAAAGCATGTATTAAATTAAGTGGGAATAAACTGTTCTTTTGTTTTTTGAGGGGAAAACAGATTATTGCTAGCAGAAGACTGCTTACCTGAATGCATTATAATCCAGCACCTTTGTGCCCATAGAGTCAGCAGCTGTAAATGCCAGCTTGACCTCTCTAGATTTTGGTTTTTCTTCCTTCAGCTTTTCTAGGATAAGTTCAATGTTGCTGAATGGAAACTAGAAGGGGAAGAGGAAAGGAGAGACATATTAAAACATGCCTGAGACTTACGTGGAGCCCTGGTGGTGCTGTGGTTAAGAGCTCAGTGCTAACCAAAAGGTCAGCAGGTTAAATCCACCAGCGACTCCTTGGAAACTCTATGGGGCAGTTCTACTCCGTCCTATAGGGTCGCTATGAGTATGAATCAACTCAACAGCAACAGGTTTGTTTGGTGTGTTTGTTTTTTTTTTTTGAGACCTAGGGAGCCCGATCTTTCTGATGTTCAGCATAAGACTTCACACTGTGAACCTGAAAATTAGCCTACATGTCTTCCTAAAGGGACCAACACTGTGAAGACATGACTAGCTTGGGATCAGTTAAGGCTGGACAACAGTCGGCATTAGCATAGGCCCCAGAGCGGAGAGAAATGAGTCCAAGGGACTGCAAGCTACACAGGAATCAGCAAACAAGCCCTCTTTCCACCCTAGCCTCCTCCTACAACCCTAGGACATTGTCCCAATATGTTGGGAGACCCTACTGGAGAGAATGGGGATTCAAATTGGATAAGTAGACTCCCATTTTCTCCAGTTATTTATAGCGGGCTTCTTGGAAATGTTGGCCAGCAGGTGATGCACTAATCATGGCAAGGCTATATGTCAAAGATGCATACACCCACTGTAATCCCCTCACGTTCATCCCTGGGCCGCCCACTGCTCCTTTCCCCCACCTTGTGAGTAGGTGTTCAACTTAATAAACACACATCTTATTCAATCCAGTAAAGTGCAATGATGTAAATAATCACAGCCAAGAGATAAAAAATGAAAAGACTGAATTTGAAAATAAAAACATTAATGGTAATTTAGTATAAAGTATAAAGCTCTCTCTCTTCTATCAGAAAATGATCCAGGTGGTTCGGCACCTACTGCAGTCCTCTAACCACCGCCCCCCCCCCTTTTGCATTTCCTTTTATCTATTGCCATGATAGGATCTATTAGCTCTTTTTAAACAACTCCTCAGACTGATAATAAAGAGTATATGAATTTTTCTCTGCTTAGAATGTACTTTTCAGAGTAGTTTTAAAATAATGCAGTTTTCACTTGGGATGCTGATACTGGACAATGTCCTGCCCTGCTTTTATCTTTCTGAAGGGAGAAAAGCCCTTTATATCTTAAAAAAATTATATTCATGCTCCATATATTTGATAGTAAGGTATAAGTGTTCTCTCTGTTTGGAAATAGAACCCTAATTTAAAATAGCTACACTGATTGAGCTTGCTAGAGGCCACACATTGCTAAGCACATGTGTTATCACATCTAATTGTCATAGCAACTCTATGAGATATGAACTGTTTTTACTCCCATTTTAAAGATGAGGAAATTGAAATTCAAAGAAGATAGTTTTCTAAGGTCCCTCAGCTAGTAAGCATAGAGTCAGGTTTCCAAACCAGTCCTACTGGCCTCCAGAAATCATAACTGCCCTATTACTAGCCTCATACCTGAATTCAGTGTTTTTTAATAGACACCAGATCACGATTTTACAACAGCCTGAATTCCTAACACTACAAATGGAAAGATGGTGAGGTAGGCACAGGGGCACCGCCCAGACCTCCCTTCCAGAGAGAACTCACTGAGGAGGGCATTGTTAGTCATCAGATCCCAGGTACAGCACCTTGGGGGTCCACAAAGAATTCGTGCCAAGGCCACGCACGCTCTTCCCAGGCTGTTTCCAGCTAATAGTTGGGTACTAGAGCTGGGTCACTCCTGCCTGACGTGGGACTTCTCAGATGGGCAGCCTTTGCTCTGGGACTCTGCAATGGCCTGGCAAAGACTTCCTCAGAGATGCACGGCAGCCTGAGGCTCTTCCTACCCTACCCTCCTTCTTTTCCTCTCTCCTTTCATAGGGGGCAGACCTGCATCCTGGACTGAAGGCTCTCCCTGCCTACTCCTACTCTTTCTCCCCCTTTATCCTTTACAGGTATTTTCCTAATATATCTTTTGCATGTCTAATTCTATTTCAGCAACTCCTTCTAAGAGAACTCAAACTGACACAGATGATGTGGTATACACAGACTGATCTTAGCAACTTAATCCCAAGAATTTTATATATGAGATGGCACTGGTACTGCATGTATATAAATGGTACATAAATATCATTACTTATAGGTGAACTGTCCAAATAAATTTTTTCCAGATAGATTTTCAAATAGTGGGCAACAATTCCCAAATAAACATGTTTGCACACTGCACTAAACCACATTTAATATCAAGATTTTATCAATGTGTTATTTTTACTGAACAGCACTACCATAATAGTGCTTTCAGTAACAGTATCCATCTGCCATCTTAAATAAAGAGCTTTAGGCCAAACTCTTTGAGCTCACTGTTGCCAATTTCTCCTTGAATTCTTATTTAGACCTCAGGTGGCTACTGTTATGGGAAGTTGCAACCACAGCAACTATTGGGTCCCCTTGGGGCTCTGTTTGTTCAGGTCTCAGTCTTCTCTGCTGGCCTGTGCCAATTAACTGGGATGGTACAGTGTGTATCGCCAGATTTTCTTCCTCTCCTATAGTTGTTGAATTTCTTTCTGAAAACATTGTCAGCATCAGCAGAAAACCCAGGAAACTTGATTCAATGCGGGGCCTGCCTCCTGCCTGTGCCTGGAATCTGTGATGCTGGGCAGCGGAGAATCCAATGTGTAAACAGAGTAGACAAGGCCTGGCCTCTGTGGCAAGACCCAGGGCCAAGTTGTGCTGATCCATTATTCATGCCCACATGTGTGAATGCACAATGTAAAACCAGCAGCAAGAGGAAGAAGAAAAGGCACCAGAGGAAGAAAAACAAAGAGTGCATAGTGTGGAGTGGCAAGTCAAGAATTCCACAAAGTAACCTCACCCTACTTAAATTTTTCTCCATGTAGTTTAAGGTATATTCATCAGCATTGAGCAAATGGAATATGTAGCCATTCACGTTCACTCTAGCTCCAACATACAGCTCCTCGGGTTGGATATATTCTGATAGTTCACTTTTAAAGACTTCTTGTCCAGGCCTCTTGACACGAGCTCTTCGTAAGAACTTCCCACCAGTAGTTCCTATCAAAAAAAGAGAAAAGTTAATGAGTAGCCTTTATTTTTAAGAAAATAGTTTGACTTGCCTTTATAGTTACTTCATCCTCAAACAAAGACTGTATGACTTATCTGTGAACTCATACTGCCTATCATTCTTTTTTAAATATTTTAATTGTGGTAAGTATATATGTATATACAAAAAACCATTTGCCATTTCAACATTTTTTACATGTATAATTCAGTGACATTAATTACATTCATCATGTTGTGCAACCATCCCTTCATTCTCAGACTTAAGAGAAGAATAAGGCAGTGGATAAAGAAATAAGACTTCCTAGGGGAGTGTGCTAAAGAAAAAAAGTGGTACGGCATTCCAGCCTTTTCTTTCCTCTCCCTACTCGCTCCCTAATCCAATAAACACCTATCAGGTCCATGCTATATGCCCAGAAGTGCACCAGTAATGTGGAACATCTGGAAGACACTCATCTATAGAGCATGCTTGAACAGAACCAGTTAGAAATTCCTTATCTGAGCTTATTCCCACCTCTTTGTTCCAGATGATGTCTTATGCTTAATCTGACATACAGATTAAGTATAAAATGACCTACTTCTGTAAAGGAGCTACTTAAGTGTTTGAAGATAACTATGGGAGTCCCCTTAAGTCTTCCTCACCATAGGTAAATGATCTTTGCTTCTTTTAGGAATGCCTCATATTTCTTACTTTCTAGAATTTTCACCATTTCATCAGCTTTCTTCTGGGTATAGTTTTTTGACCTCCTGAGTTAAACACAGGACTCCAGTATCTTCTAACTGATATTGAACTGAAATTTACAGACCTATGAATATAATCTGATATACCAGATTAGCTTTTGTGGTCAGCTTCATCACACTCCTCCTACCACATTCAGAAAACACAGGAGATGGAACAACATAGGCTGTGACACCAAATAGAGCTGGATTTCATCCTGGCTCCGTCATTTGCTTATTAGATAATCATTAGGAGTTATTTGATCTCTCTGAACCTTTTGAACTCTCATTGGTAAAATGGGAATAAAATGTGTGGGGACCATAAAAATGTGTCTCTCAGATTGTTTATTATGGAGAACATAATTGTATAATTGACAGAGGGTTCCAGCTGCTGCATTCTAAAATTCATCCCCAAGTTTGCGCTGAGGTCATGTTTCCCATAGGCTGTGCTGATAACGAATGACTGAGCAAGGTAGGGATATGAAGGCAGGCCCATTCCCGCAAGACAGGAGTGTCTTCAACTAGTGACTCTGGTTCTAAGACTATCCATCAGCCTTGCTGAAACTTTCTTAGAATTTCACCACAGTCTAAGACCTCACCCTCCCTCCCTCCCTCCCTCCCTCCTTCCCTCCTTCCCTCCCTTCCTTCCTTCCTTCCCTCCCTCTGTCCTTCATAGGAGTCAGACCTGCATTGCAGTCTGATGGCCTCCTCAGGCTCCTTCCACATTTTCCCTCACCAGCATTTTCCCAAATAAATCTCTTGTACATTTAATCTCATCTTGGCATTTGCTTCTCAGAGGACCTGGACTAACATAAAATTTAACTTCATAAAGTTCTTATAAGGACAACAGTAGATATTCCATAATGGCTGCTGTTATTACTATGAAGCTCATAGTTGACTACAATCATCCTTTGTTGCAATTTGCTTGGCCACATCTTCCCCATTCTAGATTTATAGAGTTTATTTTTCTTGACCTTTAAGAGCATGATGTTATATTCATGCCTATCCAATTTCATATTTTAATATTTGATCCATTATACAAATCACTGTGGAGCCTGACTTAGTTACACAAATTATTTATTATTCATTGGTGGGCTGAGTGGCTCATACTAACTCATGAGAGTTGATAAATTTTCAGCGATTTTGTAAGCTGGTTGTTAAACCATTGGTAGCTTGAAACTGGCCAAGACTGGGGTTTTACACCATGGAAAATGGCAAACGTTCCAAACCAGGGCTTTTTTTTCCCCCCAAATTTGTGTATTCAGCACACATAGTGTTAAGTGGGTTGGGACAGAGAACAGAGCTCTGTAGGTCCATAAATTGGTACGTGAAAAATCTATGGCTCCCCTCAGACATGGCCATGTATCAGCACACTGCAGAGAGGCATTGTGTAGGCCTGTGCACTAGAATCTTGGTAACAGTCTCAACAGACCAAAGGACCAGAGGAAGATGAGCCCTGAAAATTAAATGTGTTTATCTGGGATGACTGTCTTATAGTCAAGCAAAAAAATTACAATCAGGACTATTAAGAATATAGACTTCCTCTTGTCTTGCTGGATGTGAGTGGAACTGGTGGCAGCCAGGACATGATTTTGAAGACCTTGGATTCCACAGAGGTGCCTCAGAGGCCACAGGGAAAGGGGATATTGGCGAAAAGGAGATGCTCTGGGTTCCCCAGCCCTGAGCCAACCAAAACTGTCCCTGTTTTACCATTTTATATGTTTGGGTTTTCATTTAAGAGATCTTTGTAAAAATAACTCTATTAGTTTTAAAAAAATTGAAAGTCACTATCTTAGATCATGTAGGCTATAAAGTCAGATCACAGTCTCTAATTTTAAAAATGAAGAGACAGTAAATGTTCCAAAGAAAATCCTATGAGAGGTATGTCACTTACCTGAATTCCTCTCTGTAAGTTCAAACACTGACATTGTGTTATCGCTGAGAAAATATGAAATAACGAACATCCTGTCCACGTCAGCACATTTGTGCGTGATTAGCTTTGCAAAAAATCGAAGTGCATAGCTTATGTAGCCATAGCTAAATGGAAGAGAAATGAGGGTTACAGCATTACACAAGTAATCTTCCACACCTTACGTATGTAAGAAAACCTGCAAAACGTATGCCATGGTTTTAAGATAGTGGCATAAACTCTCCCAAGTGAAAGAGTTTAGCCGTCTGCTTATTAAGGTTCTAAGTCTATATACTGAGGATCTTTCTCAACTTATTAAAATATCTTGTATTATTTTCCATGTCCTAGGTAACACTGAGAAAATTTACCCAAAACAAATGCCAAACACTCTGCTCATATCAGCTACAATCAAGGCTTGTTCGTCTCTAATCACAAGTCTAGTCAACAGTCACAACACTCATGTCAGAAAGAAAACTAGTCCCCATTGCTGAAGTATTCCAGAGTGTGTGCTGTTCTTGTGCCTGGAGCCATCTTCCCCTTTCACCAGTCACTTACGCATGCCCATTTCTTTCCTGCCTTCTGGACCACATCCTCTCCTCTCTGAGTTCCCCTGTATCCCCCCATCTCCCCTCAAGGGCAAAATTAACTTTAATCTTTCAAATGCTCTAAAAAATATTATAGACCTGCCTTTTTTACAGCACTTCTTACTCATATTATAAGAGGCCAAAGTCTGTTCTCCAAGGGCAAGGACTGTGTCTTATTAACTGATACCTAATGTAACACTTTGTAATTACAAGCACTCAATAAATAATTGAAGAAAGTTGTTATAAGATCTGTATAGATTAGAATTTGTGCATAGAATTCTATGCATGAATAGAATAGTCTGGTAGACTGAAGATGGGATCAAATTCTAGTTCCCAAAGTTGACTGCCTGGTCACTAAAGAAAGTAACTGATGGTCTGTCAGCAGAAACATGCCTGCTGATATCAGCCAGTGAAATGTGGACATAGCAACAAATAGTAGACCCTTAGGTAGATCTTCAATAATCAAAATCATTACCCCAGGGAGGTGCACAGTAAAATTAACCACATCCAACACTTCCTTGATACAACTCTAAGGAGAGAAGTCCTCATTCGCAGACTCTACTATGCTGAAATTCATTTTGGAAAATGTTAGCTGGAAAGCGATGGGGAAAACAAAAACAAACTAACAAAAACAAGTATTTCTGATTTGCAAAGGTAGAAAGCATTTTTCTCTGCCCCTTTCTTGATTGTTCAAGGAAGCAGGGCTGAAAAAGGATGGTGTCAAGATTCCCAGCTTGAGTCCTCATGGGAGATTAAGAACAGCAATTTGGAAAGCTAGCCCCAGGGAACCAGTTGCCGTTGAGTGGATTTCGACTCATGGCAACCCCATGTGTGTCAGAGTAGGTCTGTGCTCCATAGGATTTTCAATGAATACTTTTTCAGAAGTAAATCATCAGGCCTTTCTTCCAAGGAACCTCTTGGTGGACTTGAACCTCCAACCTTTTGGTTAGTAGCCCAGAGCATTAACCGTTTGCACCACCCAGGAACTCCAGCCCCAGGGAAGCCCAGGCAAAAAAACAGCCAGATCTGCATAGCTCTGTTGTCTTTGTTCTGAGTTTCTCAGGCCTCAGAGAGACCTCATATAGTGCTAGGGGCAGCTCTACCTAGTCTACCATCTTCTCTGACATATAATTGGATTTGTAAGTAATGAACAGATTTGGTAATCTGTTCTCATGAAAGAGTCATAACTTTTACAGATGCCTGAAACAATTCAATTGAGGTCTAACCTCAGGCCAAATGAATACTACTGCAAATTTAACTTCTTAGAACTCACATAAATTTATAAGTATATATGTTATATGTAAATCTCTACATGTTTCATCTACCACGTTTTAACCTAATTTTAGTGTTTTGGAGATCTTGGCAACCAGAAATATAATCTACCTAAACAAAGTCTTTAGGCTAGCAGCTCACAAACGTTAGCGTGTATAAAAGTCACCTGGGGAACTTGTTAAATAAACAGATCCAGAGTCCCATCCCCAGAGATCTGGACTCAGTGGTTAGCTTGTATCTTCCTGCATTTTTAATAAGCACCCCCAGGAGATTCTGATGAGGTCATCCCCACAACACACTGAGAAATACTGCAAGTGTCTTGAGATATTTCCTTGACTAATAAACTAATTATCAAACTTCTCTAAACATCGAACCACACATACATACAACTGTTTTTCATGATCACCTATAATACATCCTTCTGCTCAAGTCACACCAGCCACTTCATTTACAGCCCCATGCTCTGCTCCTTTCTGCTTTCAGGTCTTCACTTGGTCTTTACTCTTCCCCCAGGGCACACCTTCATCTTGCCCTTTGCCTGCCCAGAGTCTTGTCCATCCATTTGGGCACCAATGAGTAGAACTCTTCTTACCGTGGCTGCCCTACTCAAATCTCTGGTACCCACTATAATCTGTCACACCCAATTTAGCCCTGTATAGACTTGTACTCTTGGCTGGTCTATTTTGTTTTGTTTGGTTTGGTTTAGTAATGTGTTTATTCCCATTGTCCCCCCAAAATTCTAAATTCCTAGGGCTAGGAGCCATGTCTTAATTTTTTCTACACATAGCCTAGAGTTATCTATAATCACTGTCTCTAATTATTCTCCTTTCATTCTTTCTTAAACCCACTTCCATTAGGTTTGTTCCACCTAAACTGCTCTTGTCAAGGTTAACACTGATCTCCACAACGTCCATTCCAATGGTTAATTCCTTGTCTGCATCTGACCTGACCAATCAGCAACAACTGGTACAAATAATCACACCTTCTTCTATGATACTCCTGTTCACTTGGCTTTCAGGATCTCATATTCTCTTGGTTTTGCTCCTACTTCCCTGGGTGCTCCTTTTCAGTTTCCTTTGTGGGTTCCTCCTCTTTTCCCCAACCTGTTTGTTTAGGGTATCCCAGGGCTTATTCCTTGGTAATCCTCCTAAGTATATTCACTTCCTTGGTGATTTCACCCAGTCAAGGCTTTAATACAATTGGATATCATGGTTTTAAATACCATCTATATGCTAATGACTTCTTTATTTCTATCTCTAGCTCAGACCTTGCTCCTGAAGCCCAGACTCATATATCCAACTTCCTACTCGATATCTACACTGGGTATCTAATAGATATCTCAAAACCTATTCCAAAACTGAACTTCTGCTCTTGTCCCCAAACCTACTCTACTTATAGTCTTCCCTGTCTTAGTGGATGGCAACTCCACCCTTCTAGCTGCTCAGGCCAAAGCCCTGGGGGTCATCCTTGACTCCTCTTTTGGTTCACACTTCATATCCAATCTTTCAGGAAATCCTACTGGCTCTACCTTCAAAATATTTCCAGAATCTACTTCCCATCACTTCCATTGCACTCACCCGGATCAAGTCACCATAACTTTTCTCCTAGATCACACTGCAGTAGCCTCTTAACTGGTCTTTACTTCCACCACTGACCTTCTACAGTCTATTGGCAACACTGTGTCTGGAGTGAGTCTTTTAAAATGTTAATCAGATCAAGTTACTCCTCTTCTGAAATCTCCCAATGGCCCCCTTATCACTGAAGGCCAAAAGAGTCCTTATAATGGTCTATAAGGCCCTATGTGATTTGAACTCCCATTCACTCCCTTATTTCATCTCTGTCTACTCCGCCCCTTACCTCTCTACTCTATCTATCTTAGCCATCTTGCTGTTCCTCACACATCCCAAGCAAGCTCCTTGCTCTGGGTCTTTGCACAGACTGTTTCCTCTGCCTGGACCACGCTTCCCCTCCTCAGTAACATCTACCCTAAACACACTATTTAAAATTAAAACCTGTGTTCCTCATCCTCCACCTGCAGTTCACCTTTCTTTTTTTTCATAACAACTTAATACCTTCTTTATTTTTCCATAGTACTTAAAACCTTTTATATACTATAAAACTTACTTAGATATTATCTTTATCGTTTATTGTCTGCCTCTCCCAACTAGAATGTAAGTTCTAAAAGGGTAGGCTTTTGTGTCCATTTTGTTCAGTGATGTATTCCGAGCATCTAATCACTGATTGACACACATTAGGTACTCTGTAAGTATTTGTTAAAGAAGAAAATGAATGGCTCACCCAGGGCTATATACCTACTGGAAACCTCGAGCCTTAAGTTCCAATACTAAAGGATTCTATAGGCAAAAAAATTGAATGACTCAGGAAGCATTAAAAGAAGATGGAAGGAATACACGTAGACACTGTACTGGAAATAATTGGTTGATGTTCAAATATTTCAGGAGGTAGCATATGATCAAGAACCAATGGTAGTGAAGGAAGAAGTCCAAGCTGCACTGAAGGCATTGGCAAAAAACAAGGCTTCAGGAATTGATGGAATACCAGTTGAGATGTTTCAACAAATGGATGCAACACTGGAAGTGCTCACTTGTCTATACCAAGAAATTTAGAAGACAGTTACCTGGCCAATCGACTGGAAGAGATATATATATGTGCCCATTCCAAAGAAAGGTGATCCAACGGAATGTGGAAATTATCAAATAATATCATTAATATCACATACAAGCAAAATTATGCTGAAGATAACTGAAAAACGGTTACAGCGGTACATCAAGAGGGAACTGCCAGAAATTTAAGTCAGATTCAGAAGAAGACATGGAATGAGGGATATCATTGCTGATGTCAGATAAATCTTGGCTGAAAGCAGAGAATACCAGAAAGATGTTTATCTGTGTTTTATTGACTATGCAAAGCCATTCGACTGTGTGAATCATAACAAATTATGGATAACATTGCAAAGAATGGGAATTCCAGAACACTTAATTGTGCTCATGAGACACCGGTACATAGACCAAGAGGCAGTTGTTCGAACAGAACAAGGGGATACCGCATGGTCTAAAATTAGGAAAGGTGTGCATCAGGGTTGTATCCTTTCACCATACTTATTCAATCTGTATGAGCAAATATTTTTTTAAAAAAATATTACTGACCAAATAATCTGAGAAGCTGGACTATATGAAGAAGAACATAGCATCAGGATTGGAGGAAGGATTTCAGATGACACAACCTTGCCTGCTGAAAGTGAAGAGGACTTG